GTGTCATCTGCAAAGGCTGAAATGGGATTTGTAATCACAGGCCCTATATCATTTCTAAATATATTAAAAAGTAAGGGTCCCAACACTGGACCTTGGGGTACACCACTGACAACCCTAGACCATTCAGAGTATGAATCATTAACTACTACTCTCTGAATACGATCTTTTAGCCAGTTTTCCATCCATATACATACAGATTTTTCCAAGCCCGCAGACTTCCCCACACACGGCTAATGTGTAAGGTAAACTGTGTCAAACGCTTTTGCAAAATCCAAGTATACCGCATCCTCAGCCACCCCCTAATTTTTCCAGCAAGAGCTCATCTATGTGGTCTTTTATTAAATTCTCCAGTATCTTCCCAACTATAGAAGTTAAACTAACAGGTCTATAATTACTTGGTAAAGATTTTAATCCCTTAACCACTTCCAGACCGGACACTTTTACCCCCTTCCTGACCAGGGCAATTTTCAGCTTTCAGCGCTATCACACTTTGAATAACAATTGCGCGGTCATGCAATACTGTACCCAAATGAATTTACCATTTTTTTGAGACAGATAAAACTTTATTTTGGTGGTATTTATTCACCGCTGGGATTTTTATTTTTTTTGCTAAAGTCCAAAAATTTTGAAAAGTGTTTTTTTTTATAAAATTTTGCAAATAAATAATATTTCATCATAAATCTTTGCCAAAATGTATTCCATTATCTTTTTAGTAAAAAAAAAAAAATACAAATTAGTTTATAACCAAAAATTATAATTTTTAAACTTTTTTTTTTACATTTTTTTTTTTTTTTTTACATACTGTCACCCTAGCAGTACAGTGTCACCATGGTGACACTGTACTACTTGTGGGGGGTGATGAAGATTTTTTTTTTTTTTTTTTACACTGATTGCTTTTACATCCTATATGGGTGTAAAAGCAATCATTTCTCTTTCTCTCTGTGTGCATTCTTGCACTCATTGAGAAGTACTGAGTGAGGTGTGATTGGTCACAGCTTGTCATATGGTACAAGGCTGTTGTGAATAGCCTTGTACCATGTGACCTCTGTGATCATTCACAGATTTCACACGTAGTAAGCAATGATGTCACAAGTGACATCTTGCTTACTACTTTGCATGTGATCACTGATTGGCCAATCAGTGATCACATGATCGGGACCTCGTACAGAGGTCCCGTCAGACGATCGGCGTTTCACTGTGTCCGGAGGACACAGCGGGCACCGGATCGCGGTGCTGCGCGCTCCGAGGGAGCACGCACAAGCAGAGTGCGGGGAGGCCGTTTATAAATGGCCACCCGGCCCTGCACTGCCACCGTCCGGCCGTTTATATGCAATGGCCGGTCGGGAAGTGGTTAATAATATAGGCACCACATTGGCCTTGCACCAATCCAGTGGAAATGGCAGAGCTCAATTCTTTAACCACAAGCCTACAGGGCACTTATACCCCCTTCCTGCCCAGGCCAATTTCCAGCTTTCAGCGCTGTTCCACTTTGAATGACAATTGCGCGGTTATGCAACACTGGACCCATATGAAATTTTTATCTTTTTTGTGACAGAGTTTTATTTTGGTGGTATTTAATCACCTCTGGGTTTTTTATTTTTTCTTAAACCAAAAACCACTGAAAATTTTGAAAAAAAATGTTTTTCTTATTTTTTGTTATAAAATGTTGTAAATAAGTGATTTTTCTCCTTCACTGATGTGAGCTGATGAGGAGGCACTGGTAGGTGGCACTGACAGGCAGCACTGATAGGCGGCATTGATAGGTGGCACTGATGGGTGACACTGAAAGGCAGCTCATATGGGCACTGATATACACTGGTAGGCACTGATATGTGGCATTGATGTGGCACTGGCAGGTGGCATGAATAAGCACTGACACAAGGCACTGATGGACACTGACAGGTGGCACATCAGTGTGCCCTGATGATCAGTGTACATGTCCCCTCCGCGGAAAGCCGATTACCGGCTCTCCTATCCTCTGGAGCTGTCAGCGTGACATCTCGTGGGGAGAGAAATGCCGATAACCGGCATTTCCCTGTTTACATGTGATCAGCTGTAATTAGACACAGCTGATCACATGACCGAGCAGACATCTTCGGCTCTTTCCGTGATCGGTGATCCGCTGTGTCCGAGGGACACCCTGCACCGCCGATCGCCATATGACATCCTCCCAGAACGAGAGAACCACCTTGCGTCCATCATATTACTATATGGCGGGCGGAAGGTGGTTAAGGACCCGTGGGTGTATGCCATCTTGTCCAGGTGCTTTATTAACCTTTATACTGTCTAAATATTTCTGGATCATATCAGTTGTGAGCCAATGTGGATCATCTGGAGCTGTGTCAATACCATGCTCGTTATGGTCAAGAGCTCCCCCATGCTCCTTTGTATACACAGAGTTGAAGAAGGTATTTAGCAAATTTGCCTTCTCTTTGTCCCCAGTCACCCACATTTTTTACTATTAATATATTTGAAGAATTTTGGGGGGTTTGTCCTGCTATCTTTTGCAATCTGTCATTCAATTTCAATTCCTTCAATTTCCTTTTTACATATTCTGTTATATTCTTTGTAATGTTTAAACGATGATAGCGTTCCTTCATTTTTATATTTCATAAAAGATCTTTTCTTATTATTTAGTTTTTTAACATTGGCCATAAGCCACGTAGGTTTGATTTTTAGCCTTTAAACTTGTTGCCCATGGGAATATATTTGGCGGTGTGCTCACATATAGTCTTTTTGAAGAATTCCCATTTCTGTGTTGTGTTCATTAATGCCAATATTCCCTCCCAGTCTAAGTTTTGGAGAACAGCTCTAAGCCTTGGAAAATTAGCCCTCCTAAAGTTGAGCATTTTTAATTTTCTCATATGTGCTTGTTGTTTACAGCTAACAATAAATTAAATCATGTTATGGTCACTGCTACCCAGATGTTCTTTTATATGGACATTCGTAATAAGCTCTGCATGGTTTGAGATTACCAGGTCCAGGAGAGCATTATTCCTAGTTGGGGCCTCTATGAACTGTACCAAAAATTTGCCCTGTAGTAGGTTTATAAATTTTTGCCCTTTAACGGTTCCAGCAGTGCCATTACTCCAGTCAATTTCAGGGTAATTAACATCCCCATTATTATCACGGTCCAAGCCTTTGCAGCCCTTTCGATCTGTGCAAGGAGCTGAGTCTCCACCTCCTCATTAACACTGGGAGGCCTATAACAAACTCCAATGATTACCTTTGTAGTATGCACCCCCATGTGCAGTTCCACCCATAATGCTTCAGCCTCATCACACTCTCCATCAACTAGGTCCTCTTTCACACTCTCTCTGAGATCACATCTCACATAGAGACAGACACCACCACCTTTCCTTTTAACCCTGTCTCTCCAAAAGAGAACATAGCCAGGTCGATGCTGAACCAGTAATAGAGGGGCAATCTTTCAATGGGGGCACTAGTTCTGGTGACACCCTGGGATTTCCTCAGTTTGGAGGGATTTTCTCTCACTTCCTGTTTGGCCCTGGGACACAGATGACCAAAAAAAAAAAAAAAACTGACCAGCATTATAACTCTCCCTTTCTCAATCCAAAATGGAAAAACAAAAGTTTTGCCTTTAGTGACACTTTAAGGAGAAAGGTAGAATCTGTGGAGACAGTAGCCATGTCCCATATTGAGGAAGTAGCTCTACCCACTCCTGACAAACTAGTCATGGACATGCAGTTTGGAGAAAGTACTTCCCTTCATCAGCTTGATGATGATGGCGTGTGACCTGTTTATGTTCAGGTGTGGGTAGAGCTACTTCATCAGTATTGGACCTTGCTGCTCTTCCTATGCACCAAGCAGTTCCCTGAGGAGAATGCAATTGCCAGAACTTTGCTCTGTAAGCGGTCATATTCCACCTTTCTCCTTGACGCGTCTGTGAGTGCATCTTAGGCGTTTGTATTTAACCGCTTCCTGACTACCCTATAGCAGAAATGCTGCTACAGGGCAGCACGGATGCGCAAAATCGTGTGTGTGTGTCTGTGCATTCCTGGGTAGGGGGTGCACGTGCCCTACCTGCACCACCATTTGCAGCCGCGGCTTTCAATCACCAGCTCCTGCTCGGTGATTACTCATACACAAATGCGTATTATGATTATATATCTGGTGAGTGCGCAGTCTTAACATCTATCTCTGGCACATAACCTGCTAGACCACTTGAAGTATACAAATCACCTGTTTGAGACCATTTTGGATAGATTTTCACCTTTATTGTGGACTTCATATGTCATAATCTGTGGTGTATTTCAGCACATATAAGTGCTCACTATTGTCACGTATATGGCACCATATTACAGATTTATCTTCACTACAACAAGCTGACCTTGCTTCTGGCTTTGGAAAGAATGGTGTTCGGGTAATTTACAAAAAGTGTGTATGACACTCAGTTAGGCCTCTGAACGATAGAGGTCCATGCTTGCCCCCACTTTATATACACTGATTAAAAAGTGTTCATTTAATTTTTTTGAGCAGAGTGTAGCATCAAGTCAATTAAACTCCTGACAGGCAGATTAATAACAGAAGGAGCCATTGGCTCCAGCTGTTAATCAAATGCCGTGGGTTGGTGGGGCCGAGCCGCACTGTCTGTGTCAATAGACATAGACAGCATGACTTGGGATCAAGCCCACAGGTGTCTCACAATAAAAGCAGCTGGCTACTGTGGCACACCAAGAAGAGGAGGAGCCAGGAGAGGCTGGGGGGACCTGGGCTGCTGTATGCAAAACCATTACCAGAAATCTGTAAATTCAGGACCTACCTAAACTTCTCCAATTAATCTGTATCCAGATAAGTAGGCCCTTGCAAGGAGATTGTACAATCATATTATAACGTGTGGTGATCTGTAATTATTCCAGTGAAATGCTTTTCTGTCTTTCCTCTGGTATCTCTAGCTGTGGATGTGAGAGTACAGACTTGGCACTGAGCAAATTCCTGCTAGTCTTTCTGAACTAACTGGTTTCTTTTTCTACTTTCAGAGGAAGGATTACTATACCGAGCACGTTATTTTGGAGATGCAGAGCTCTACCAGAGAGCGCAGAGGATGGGCACCCCTAGCTGTAACAGACTGACGGAAGTCCAGGCTTCAATGCATGGCTAGACCTTTCTGAGCACACTGAAGAAAGCACAGGTACACACAGAATAGTTCCCAAAACACAATGTACTACACTGGCTCCTTCTTCACACATAATGTATATTTGTCCTTCTACCGAAGCAGCTCAATAATAATAGAACCAATAAAAGGAGCTTAAAATGATATATACAAAACTACTTACTGTGAACTTCTCCCTCTACAAGTTAACCACTTGCCCTCCTGAGGATTTCCCCCCCTTACTGCGCTGCGTTACTTTAATGGACAGTTGCGCAGTCATACAACATTGCACCCAAATGACATTTCCGTCCTTTCCCCCCCCCCCCCCCCCCCCCCCCCCCCCCCCCCCCTCCCCCCCCCCCCCCCCCACCGAATTGAGCTTTCTTTCGCTAGTATTTGATCACCTGTGCGTTTTCTAATTTTTGCGCTATAAACACAATTGTATTCAGGTGTCTTTGGTCCCATAGACTTCAATGAGGGCACCTGTAAATGCGTGTTTTTACACCTGAAGGATGTTTATAGAACTACTTTCTTCCCCTTGCCCAGTACAGGAAAGTTTGATACTTGTACAAAAACATTTGTAAAATGCCTAGGAAAAAAAAAAACAAAAACAAGAGTGTCCGGGACCTGCCGATCGGTGAAGCAGATGACAAGACAGAGCTCTGTTCTGTGTTTCCTTGCAAAGCAGGGAATAAAAACTGACACAACCCTTAGTAAAATCTGCACACGGTAAACACACCAAGCATTATTAGGCACACAATTAACCTTTTGATTGCCCCTAAGTGTTAACCCCTTCCCAGCTAGTGTCATTAGTACAGTGTCAGCATATATTAACACGGATTGCCTGCTGTGCTATTTCAGTCCTGCTATAAGTCACCGATCGCCGCCTTTACTAGTATAAAAAAAAATAAATTTAAAAAAATTCTCTAAATATACAGTCATGGCCGAAATTGTTGGCACCCTTGATATTTCTCCAGGAAATCATGTATTTCTCACGAAACGTATTGCATTAACACATGTTTTGCTATACACATGTTTATTCCCTTTGTGTGTATTGGGACAAAACAAAAAAAGGGAGGAAAGAAAGCAAATTCGACATAATGTCACACAAACCTCCAAAAATGGGCTGGACAAAAGTATTGGCACCCTTTCACAACTGCGGATAAATAAGAATGTTACAAGCATGTGATGCTCCTGTAAACTCACCTGGGGCAAGTAACAGGTGTGGGCAATATAGAAATCACACCTGAAAGCAGATAAAAAGGAGAGACGTTCACTTAACCTTTGCATTGTGTGTCTGTCTGTGCCACACTAAGCATGGACAACAGAAAGAGGAGACGAGAACTGTCTGAGGACCTGAGAACCAAAATTGTGGCAAAATATCAACAATCTCAAGGTTACAAGTCCATCTCCAGAGAACTAGATTTGCCTTTGTCCACAGTGCGCAACATTATCAAGAAGTTTGCAACCCATGGCACTGTAGCTAATCTCCCTGGTCGTGGACGGATGAGGAAAATTGATGAAAGATTGCAACGCAGAATAGTCCGGATGGTGGATAAGCAGCCCCAAACATGTTCCAAAGACATTCAAGCTGTCCTGCAGGCTCAGGGAGCATCAGTGTCAGCGCGAACTATCCGTCGACATTTAAATGAAATGAAACGCTATGGCAGGAGACCCAGGAGGACCCCACTGCTGACACAGAGACATAAAAAAGCAAGACTACAGTTTGCCAAAATGTACTTGAGTAAGCCAAAAGCCTTCTGGGAAAACGTCTTGTGGACAGATGAGACCAAGATAGAGCTTTTCGGTAAAGCACATCATTCTACTGTTTACCGAAAACGGAATGAGGCCTACAAAGAACAAAACACAGTACCTACGGTAAAATATGGTGGAGGTTCAATGATGTTTTGGGGTTGTTTTGCTGCCTCTGGCACTGGGTGCCTTGACTGTGTGCAAGGCATCATGAAATCTGAGGATTACCAAAGGATTTTGGGTCGCACTGTAGGGCCCAGTGTCAGAAAGCTGGGTTTGCGTCCAAGATCCTGGGTCTTCCAGCAGGACAATGACCCCAAACATACGTCAAAAAGCACTCAGAAATGGATGGCAAAGAAGCGCTGGAGAGTTCTGAAGTGGCCAGCAATGAGCCCAGATCTAAATCCCATTGAACACCTGTGGAGAGATCTTAAAATTGCTGTTGGGAAAAGGTGTCCTTCCAATAAGAGAGACCTGGAGCTGTTTGCAAAGGAAGAGTGGTCCAAAATTCCGGGTGAGAGGTGTCAGAAGCTTATTGATGGTTATAGGAAGCGACTGATTTCAGTTATGTTTTCCAAAGGGTGTGCAACCAAATATTAAGTTAAGGGTGCCAATACTTTTGTCCAGCCCATTTTTGGGGTTTTGTGTGACATTATGTCATATTTGCTTTTCTGCCTCTGTTTTATATTTGTTCCAATACATACAAAGGGAATAAACATGTGTATAGCAAAACATGTGTTAATGCAATACCTTTTTTGTGTGAAATACTTGATTTTCAGGAAAAATATCAAGGGTGCCAACAATTTCGGCCATGACTGTATACATACATACACACACCACACAGTTTGTAGACGCTACAGCTTTCACCACACACTCAATCAATTACCAAAAAATATGTAGCAAAATACATTTTTTCCTACATTTTTTGAAGGAATTTTTTATTATTGGATATATGTTTTATCGCAGAAAGTAAAAATATATTTTTTTTTTTTTTCGGTTTTTCCTTTACATAATAAAAAAAAAACGCAGTGGTGATCAAATACCACCAAACAGAAGCTCTATTCGTGTGAAAAAATTATTTAAGTTTTATTTGGATACAGTGTTGCACGAGCATGCAATTATCAGTTAAAGTAGCACAGTGCTGAATAGCAAAAAAATGGCCTGGTCATGAAGGGGGTAAAACCTTCCAGAGGGCAAGTGGATAAAGCTACTTCGTTGGTGTTGCAAGAATAAGCATTTTTTTTTTTTTTTTAAACCTGTCCTTGTGAGGAAGACAATACTTGCGTCTCCTGCCACACACCTACTAAATTTTGCAATATTCAAGCGCCATCTCAGAAGATCTTCAGAATTCACTGCTTCTGGTTGTGTCAATTGCCTGCCCCCCTCTGCACGCTGTGGTTCCTCCTACCAGCCCTATACAACTACAAGGCACCGTGATATAGGGGGTTCACAAATCCAACTACGAGTCAAAGCGCAGCGGGAAACCAGGCATTCGACAAACCTGCAAATGTTGCCTTCTGAAGATTCTTCAGGCAGCAATATCAGCAGTAGAGGTAAGAATTAAAACTCCAGGCACCAGTTGTGAAGAAAAGACTGAAATGTAACAGATGTCATAGAAAACATTCTAGGTAAAGGTCACTGTGCCTGGAGTTGGGTGTTAACCCCTTCCTGCCAGCCGTATGCATATATTCAGTCTCACAGAAGTGGGTCTTTTTCCTTGGGGCAGCATATATGCGTACCTCCCTTTGTGCTGGAAGCGTGCCAAACAGCCACACTCCCAGCACAGAGACTGGACTCTCAATGAAAGTCCAGGGTCTTGTACTAACAATCGAGACCCAGGATTTTCAGTTCTGGGTCACCTGATCGCTGTGATAGCCTCTGATTGGCTATTACAGTGATCAGTCACTGTGAGCCTGCCCCTGTGTTAACTCCCTGTTCTGAATGAAGGGAAAGCTCACACCATAGGTAGCCACTTGTCCCAGCTGTTTAGCAACTTATAGTAATTAATGCCCCGTTAGATCTAGCCTTCATGACACCAAACCTTTTATTCATTGAGAAGGATGCAGAGCCACACATCATATCGATAGTCATTTTCTTTATTCTCTCTTAATTCAGACCTGTATAATATTAAATGCAGCCTATTCTAAATCTAGTTTTTTGTTTCTCTTTAGATCTTCAGAGCTGGAAATTTTGGCAATACACGGGAGGGCTCATTTCCTGTCTGGGGGCCTGCAACGCATTGCTTTCTAGTGCGTTACTGACTCTTCAACCGCAGCCTGATTACAAATTGAGAAATGTCAATGCACAATCCTCCTGACATTGTGTGGCAGCAGGACAGAATCTCTGCTCGGCTTCTTCCCACAGTCCCCACATAGTCCCGTTGCCCATAGACTTTAATGCACCTGTAGGATAATATAAGCTCGGCAGCTGCTCGGAACGAATCCCAACCGATCTCTGCCCCGACTGTCTGGATCCCTTAAGACTGTGGCCTATTACACCTTACAATATGTGGAATCAGAAGACTTTTAGAACAAAGAAATGACTGAAGAAAATCTATTTAGAATTACTTTCTAGCTGTATATATGTTGTACTTTTAAACAGAAATAATTATTCAGATACTGGATTACATTTGTTTAGCCAGTATCTGTTATTCTATTTAAAAAAGACCGTTGTGTGAATCTTTGTGTTGGCATTGGCCAAGAGCTGAGTCTTTCATATTTAAAATAACTGCATCTGATGGAATATATTTAATAAATTTAGAGACTTTAAACGTGTGATTTTTCTCCTAGGGTACATTTTATGAAATACCTGCGACTAAGGTTAAAAGATCAAATTCACCCAAAACTGGTAATTTTAGGGGTTTTTTTTATTGTTGGCAGTATTTTTCTCAGCATATTTTCCAATTTCAAGTGCTGCAGTGTGTATACTCCCCAACTGAATTCAGCATAAGGTAGAATATATAAATCACTGAAATAAAGACTGCATTTGTGCGATTACCTCCATGTATGCACATATACCAACACTATCGAGAATAAGGTATTACCATAAATACTAATCTACTGAAAATGCAAAAAACAGAAATTGACAAAATGTCAGAATATAGTAAAGGTGTGCCGAAATAAACGTATAGAGTGCACACCAGATTGATTGAGAACTCTCTCGTAGTGAGGATTTATGACAAAACAAACATTCCGATGCATGCATACAATTCTTGAACTTTCCAGTTCTGTGATCCAAAAAAACAGTTAAGATCAATG